CAGTAGTAGTCGTGGTAGTAGCAGTAGAAGTAGTGGTAGTGCCAGTAGTAGTACTAGTAGTAGTAGTAGTAGTAGTGGTGGTGGTGGTGGTGGTGGTGGTGGTGGTGGTAGTCGTCGTCGTCGTCGTAGTAGCAGGAGCAGGAGTCATAGTAGCTGCAGCAAAGAAACAATGACAAGAAGAACACTGCTAAGAATCATCATAAATTACACCACGCTCGACCAAGAGTTGGGAACCAGCCATTGGTGGCAAGTTTCAGATGCGCAGACGATGTGGGCTGTGGTGGGGCAAGCCCCACGCGGCTTTTCGAGAGCTTTGGCTCATCACCTTTGCTGGCCCCGGGGAACACTTCAATGTTTGTTGTTCTGCGTGTGTGAGGGGAACCTGCGCTGTGGCAAAATTTGTAGCTCGAAGCCCCTAGAATTTTCGAATGAATGACTACCGTCTGTGAGCATGGTACGGAACTAGACACATCAAATGCCATGAAGTCAGAACGACGACGATTGGCAACAAGGACCATCAGCTCGATCAACCTAGGACGACCACGACCAGTACCGACTTGCTCTGTAAGGTTACCGAGGTGGGTCTTGTCCGACAAGTGAGAGGCTCGTCTTTGAAGTGCTAAGAGCCCATGCCGGAGAGAGTGTAGAAAGGAAGGCAGTTTACTGTAAGCTACGGCTATACTACTATGCCCACCAGCCAAAGCAAACCGGCAAATTGATGAGTCGAAGGAGGCCCGCACCGGAATCAAATGACTGGCGAACTGCCGAAGAATTGTGCCGTCCTTCTGAATTGTGGTCCTGTGAGGGCCTTCAAGATGGCAAGCTCCTATCAGGAAGGGAACGATTCACGGCAACCTGACGCACGGCAACTCAACCCACTCCTGAACCCAAGCTTCCAGTTCGTTCCAAGCTGTGTCTCACAACTCTCGTGGTATCTTTGGTGGCAGCAGTGGTAGCGGTTGGCTGTTGCACTGGCAGCAACAGCAGCAAGAACAATTGCAAATGCGTTTCATGCTGATGTTTTTTTTGCTGGGGCTGTTGATGCTATTGCTGCTGTGGATCTTGTCGTTGGTGCCGCTGGTGCTTCTGCTTCCTGTTTGTGCCCCTCCTGTTTTGCCAATTGAATTATTAGCATTGCTACAGTCAAAACTGATACATGTACACAGGCTAGCTGGCATCAGTCTACAGGCCTAGAAGCGGAAGCTCTTGGCAGCTTGAGTTTCATAACGCGTGCATCAACGCCAAGTGTCTGTCAGACGCATCATCATACATACCCTCCTCCCTCATGGCATTGATGGTCTGATGAACACTGGAGAGCTCCTGGCTGCGGTTTTCGCAACGCAAGTGGCTCGCACGCAATTAGCATGAAGTCACAGGAAGGCTCTCGCAATCACATCCACTGTTCCATGAACATCTTAAGGGGCTCGCACACTCCTCCAAAACTCCTCCTGTAAGCCTTGCACAAACCGCACTCACGCCTGGCGGAAATCCGATTCATCTTGGCCCGAAGAGAAGCCACTACCAACGCCGAATGCAAGACGGGATGTACTTACTCCTCTGCTGCCTCTGCTGCTACGACTACTACTACTACTACTACTACTACTGCTAGTACTAGTACTACTACCACTACCACTACCGCTACAACTACCACTACCACTACTGCCACTAAGACGGCGACGACGAGGCCTATGACTACGTCTGCGACTGCTACTAATGCATAAAGGCATAAGAACCTTCATTCTACGAATCATCACTTTTATCGCACTCTCCCAGCTTTGCCGACAGCCTCGGCCAGCCTCTTGGTGGTCTCGGCAGTCTGAACTCGGATTGCCCTGGGTTGAGGAAGGAGGATGAAGCATAATCACTCTCTCTTGAAGTCTGCTTTGGCCTCTCACACGAACCTGCATACGGATCAGGAGGCTTACGCCTCCATCCTTCAACAGGATACAGGTACACAGGTAAACATATGGAAACATGGACGGACGGATTGATGGTACACAATAGGCGAGTGCATGCGTGCATGTGCGAAGAGAATATGCGCATGTACATACATATTATACAGAATACATGCGACCATGCTGCTGACACCTATGCCGAGGTTGCAGATGTGGTGGGTAACACAGAAGCACACTGGACTTAGTCGGGTTTTGTCTTTTGGCATTCGGATAGATACTGGACAACTACAGGAGACCCCGAAAGCAAAGACCACCCGGCCCAGAAGTGGCCTTGCATCCCAACCCATGGGAGTCCTGGCCTACAAACTATAAACTCAAGGCACGACTTTATCATCCGCAACAACTCCTTGGTGTCACGGACCGTGGCCGTGTTCGAGCCTCGGCCGTTCCTGGGCTTGGGGTCGCATGTAAAGGTGGTTGGCGACAGAAAGAGCATGCTGAACAGTTACAATAGCTAGTTGCATGCATATGCATTCCCAAGCTAGATGGAGAGGATGCGAGCCTGGTATTCACCGAAACAAACCAAACCTGATGTCACGGTGGTTGCTCCGGTCTCCGAGTGTAACATGAAACTGCAAAGTGTTGTTGTGAACAGTTCTGATCCAATGAGCTGTGCACCAAGCTATGCATTTCCTGCACAATTTCGATCCTCATGATCATCAACAAGTATATTATAGCTGTTAATAGCTATAAAGCATAATACGACCGATGGCAACCGAAGGCTCGACGAGACCTCCTTATTACAGGATACGAAACTTTCACGTGAAATAGGTCAGGCAAGTCACAGCATGAGCTCTACCATCTTCCTGAGTCTTCAGCATTTGCTATGTTTCACAACAATGAGAGGAGATGATCCAGCGGATGTGGGATCACCCTGGGCAACGGAGCCCCAGCGGCCCACCGAGCTGGATATAGTGGCAGTTCCCGTGCCTTTCGGCTTGTAGGTTCAGAGCTCTGGTGCTGCCTCTCATTGTTCACAGCCCACGGATGACCGTGCACCGCAGCTCGTCGCACGGCTGCACCCAAATCTGGGCACCGATATCTACTCTTTGTCCCCGTTCCCTATGCTCATGTCGCGCTTGCCAGACGATACACATGTCTGCCTACGACAGCCGCTGGCGAACTCCGCTTGCGAGAGGGCCGCTCGAAGGTCATCACATCACCAGTGCGCTCCAAGTCTTCGTAGAACATCTCGAGCATGTCCTGATACGTCTCGGTAACCGTGATCAAATTGTCGTGATACAAGCATGGATTGTGCTAGATACCCGATCTACATCATGGCATTCTAGGATTTGCACAAGTGACCCTACAAGACCTGGGATCCAGATGTCCAGTCCAATCGCATCTTAGCAGCCGCAAGAACCACCACGTCGACCTTTACGCTTGCCAAGATCCCAGTAACCTGCTTTGGCTGGGCAGAGTTTGGGCATGACGAAGTCACGAGCAACGTGTAATCACAAGCCTTAGTGGGGTAGACGGGGGCTTGGTATCATCCCAGCCTTCGAGAGGCCCAGTCTCTCCGTTCCCTCTTTACAAAAGCCCAAGCCGAGCTCAGCGCAGACAAGCTCACGTTTACAGAATCCGAAAATTCTCTCGGGGAAGATCCACACGATGCCTCGGGGTCAGTCAGGTAGCTCTGGAAGTCCTGGAGCAGGAGATGTCCGAAGGCGGCTACACTCAATTGATGGAGCTAAATTCATCAAACCCAGTGTGTGACTCGAAGCCGATAAGATCGCGCGGTTGTTCAGAACAGACACACCCCTTGACCCACACGCCAACATTGATTCGAACCTTCATCCCAGTGCAGCGCACAGGGAAGCCTCAGATCCTCGATGCCGTGCCTATTTGTGCCTCCTGCAGCGGCGGTCCTGCTGAGAAATTGGTGCTTCGGGATTGTGCCCAAGCAGCTCCTGAGGTTGTCCGCAGCATCCACCTACTGATGTCTGACCGCCATCTGCACCCCTAAACCCTCAACCCCGACCCGACAAAGTGGACAGTGGACTGAAGCACCGGAGGTGGGCCAAGAGGGTGAATGATGCCAATTACAGTGTAAGTCACGCAACCACTTGGCATTAAATATGAGTGACGAGCCGTGACGGGCATCAACAGGCTAGATCTGGTTTGGGTGACGGGTGCTGGCTGCTGCATGAGCTTCACCATCAACTGCACATCGGTTCCATCGAGAGGTCTATGTGGCTGTACGCCCAGTTGAGGGTGCCCACAAGGAGCTCTGCGAGCAGCTTGCTGTGCCCAACTTCCTACACCTTGCAACTTTGGATCCGCCCTCGCAGTACTCAGAGACACATCAGTCGCATGCCGAGTAACCATCTTGTTGCGGATGCTCCCTGCCACATAGCTGACGACCAAGCCTACGACAGTGGTGTCAGACCATCGTATCTTATCACCCATTGCAAACTCCGTCTCGACTAAGATTGAGGCGGGTGCCGGACGCATGAACAGTTCAAAGACATCAGCGGTCCACGCATGTAAGGGCTGCAGGGGTTGTGATCTGCAGTCAAGGCCCTTCCCTGCACGTAAACTCCGATGTTCTCCCTCTTTGTGGTCCGCACAATCCTAAGCAAAACCAACGCTACGATGTCACCCAGTCTGAACCGAAAGTCTTAACATAGGCGAGCCCATGCAGGAAATGAACAAAAAAACTTGGATTCAGCGACTGGGCTATAAACTCCGCAATCTACTTTAAATATGGAGGCAGGTCCAGGGCAAATGCAGATTCTGGTCTCGATGTTTCGGATAGCTTAGGCGCTGTGGCTTCAATGCATCGAGCCTCACTTCTGCAAACCACCATGCCCCGCGTTCCCCAACAGAATCTAGTGGGAGCTCCAAATCGTTGCTTTCTCTGGTGCTCTGGGGCAGTTGTGACGCATTGCGCGTTCCGCAAACGGCACTATGGCTGTATCACAGCTTCACTCCTGACTCCTCTCGTCTCCAGGCTGATGATTCTGAACAAGCATCTCCGAAACCCAAATTCCAGGAACATGTACTTCAGCGATCTAGCTGTCAACTCGGCACACATTATCACTCGATGTGAGCCTTCCTTCTGAGAGCTTGCGATGGCCCCGACCGCCTCCACCAAGCAGCCTCATAGGGTTCTGCTTTCCAACATGAGCGCGTGCGGAGCTAGGTATGCTTGCCTGTCCACTGACCTTGGTGGCCTGCCCAGCTGTCTTCGTCTGTAGCGCACACTTGCACACAAAGGCCGGTGCTTGCCGGTCAGAGCTGCTCATGCTGCAAAGGTGTCGCAAGCTACGGGGTGGAATGCTCTTGCCACATGGGGCGATGCAGATCGAGAATGCCATGTTGGCATCAGCCTTCCTTGCCCCAAAATGTTAGTTTCAACATCGCTGGTCATCAAGCACGCACCTACAAGCAAAAGCAGGACATTGTGGACCACCATTTAATGCGACGTCGGTCTTGGACGGACGATTGGACTCCGAACCACACACTGCACGGACTCATGACCGGCCGGCTGTGTCTGCCTGCCTCTCGCTCAAACGCAGGGCAGCATTCAGTCCCAGATCGACCGAAGATTCATACACCCATAATATTCCTGATATGCAAGAATACAGAAGTACCTGCCAATGTACATGCTCAATGCACGCACAAAGACACAAGCAGGGAGGTTGACTTCCTTGCGCTTACGGACCTTGAGGGCTGCTGCTTCGGGCTCACGGCGGCTTAGCCCTGCATGAGTTTGCCGTTGTCAGTAAAGAGATGCGGTGAACTCCCACGAAATAGCAACGTGCTCGGATGCTATGGAATCCACCTGCGGCCTGGGAACCCACCAGCATGTACATCACCGTCACTGCAACGAGGAGAATGTATGTCAGGCCCACGATGTACCTCTCGTGGCGCCATCAGTTGGGTTCTGGGGGAAGCAAGACATACTGCGCGCAAAGTGTACATCACAACTTGGCATACATATATACATATACACCTGTGTCTCGAAATATTTCCATCTATACATATGGTTCCCCCCGGTGACAGACCATGCCCTTGAATCAGGCATGATCTGTCAACGGATGGACAATCACCTATTCTAAATTCAATTCCGAAATGTCCAAGACTTATCCCCCAAGTTTTTTCAGAATTTCCAAATATTCCAAAGTTTCCAAAAAAACCCAAATTTCCAATCTCTCCCAAACTTCCAAAAGTCATCCCCCTAACTTTCCGAAATTTCCAAAAAGCCAAAATTTCCAAAAGTCATTCCCCTAACTTTTCGAAATTTCCAAAAATTCCAAAAAGCCCAAAATTTCCAAAAAGTTCCAAAATTCTGCCCTTAATGCTAAGGACCGGCTCTGCCAAACAGGGTCTAGATTTTTGGAAATTTTGGAATTTTGAAACTTTGGAATTTTTGGAAGTTTGGGAATTTTGGAAATTTTGGAACCTTTTGGAATTTTTGGTTTTTTTTTTAAAATTTTGGAAATTTTGGGATATTTTGAAATTATCGAAATTTCAATGATATTTTGGAATTTGTACAATTGTTTCCAATTTGTGGAAACCTCTACACGTTCATGCAAC